GCAACGACCAATGCGTTCTAGCGTACCAAAGATAGCTCATGTACGTTAATACTTTAACAGTACAACCGGAATATTGCCTGTGGTGATTCGTCAGTGGCAATAGCTATCGTCTTCTGCTCCATGCTCCTTTCTGAAATATGGTCAAGAAAGAAGCTGGTTCTAAATACCTATGAGCGTGTGAAAAAAGCCCACAGCTTGGCAGTGCTCATCGAAAGCCGCTCCCATTTCCTCTCACTCACAGCTATATAGGCTGGTCTCCACCATACCCATCTTTATACTTTCATCGATACCCTACCATGGCTTCAGTACCATCCCCTCCCAACATTTATATCAATCCGCCCCCCAACAATGCGACGGGCAGCGTGGAACGTACCCCAACACCTTCTGTCTACGGGCTCCAGGGCTCTTCATCTTCTCTCCACGGTCCGGAGACTCAAAGCTCGGTAGAGGGCGGCTCAGAATCACTTGGCAACTCATGGTGGGGGGGACAAGAAGAGAGGGGTGGTAGATCGTGGTACAATTTGCCCAGGTGAGTTGTAGGCTCTGGTTAGACAGGTAAGCCGCGGGCACTGACTTTCGGTGCTCATCCAAGACGTCAAAATACGATCCTAGCGGATCAAGAGGTCGCGTATGAGCGTACGAAACGCGCGATGGTTAATGCTATATCTAGGATGCTCGATATATCGCTCGATGCTGCGGGAGAAGCTTTACTGGTTGGCGTTGACACGTTGACACTTGTACCAGTTGGAGGGTTGGATATCGCCGGAAAGGTACTGCTTACTATATGGCAGGGCATTCAAGCGGTTGAGGTAAATCTCTTCCCATGTTCGGCATTGCAGAGTATGGTCATCAGGTACACGAATAGGCTGATGACGTAACACTGGATGTCTTATGGTCGATCATTAGCATCACAGTTGCACCAGCATACTAACATTTAGTCCTTAGACAAACCGTCTTTCATGTCTCCGACTCACAGAACGTTGTGCGAACATATACTACAGCGTGCGCGAAGAAATCAACATTGCAGGTCCACAAATCGCAGAAACACTTCGCGAACCTGTCGAAAAGCTTACAGAGTCAGTATTTCAGTTCCTATCAAATCCTATCAATTCGCCCGTATGCTTGCACTTGATCCTAACCGCTCTTTTCTTTTTTTTCTTTTCACCTCAGATCATTCCGCGGGATCGAGAAATTCATTAACAAACAAGTCTCCCGGCCCTTCTTCAAACGCTACCTCAAGCGCGACGAAGACGCGCGTAGGATCATCGCGTGCGATGCCAGCCTCACCGACAGCGTCAGTCTCTTCAGCGTCGCCATCCAGGTCCGCATGCTCAAGGGCATCCGAGACCTCAGCCTGACTGAGCAGCACCAGCCGCCGGTCGTCATCCCCGCCGGCACGAACGAGATCATCGCAGCGATCGCGGCGATCCGCTCGGTACAGGTGGCGAGGGACAGCAAGCAGGACATGGCGGACTTGTACACCACGATGAAGATGGCGCTACGGAGTGATGACGATATGGTGATGCTCGAGGTGTTGCAGGTCGACCGGAGCGAGATCCAGGAGGCCATTAAGACTCTCCAGCGGGCGTTGGAGGATCCGAGGCTGGCACTGGCGGGGACGAAGGCGCATTTGGCACCCGTTACGCCGCTCCAGCCGATGGCGCCTGGAGATGGCCCATGGGATCCTGACCAGGAAGCGGCCTTCCACCGCGAGTTTTTGGAAGGCGGGTTGGATGCGCTGAGGAGGTTGAGTGGGGCGAAGGGCGGAGATGAGAGTTTACCGCCGTGGACGATCACGAAGTGCGTTTTTACCCTTTTGTTGTTCGCCTTTTTCTCAGTAGCAAAACACCTTCAACTCAAACAGATGGGAAGTCGACCGCGAGAAAAAAATTGGCATTGGGTACTTCAGTGACGTGTACAAAGGGACATGGCGCGGGCATACCGTTGCGATCAAGAAGGTTGCAGAAAGTACGCCTCGGGATCTCTTCCGCCGCGAGGTTTCGATATGGGCATCCATGAAGAAGCATACGCATGTCCTGGAGCTCTTGGGCGCGTCAAGTGCGACGGGCGATCCGCCGTGGTTCTTTGTAAGCCCCTATATGAAGAACGGCAATCTCCCGACGTTTTTGAAGGCGGCGGTCGCGGATAAAAGTAGAGGTCAGTATGTTCTCTTTGTTTTCGGGGACGCCGGCTGAACCTTGGTCTTATACTGATTATACTATAGGGCGGCCTGAGCCGCTTCAGATGATGCAGGAGATAGCTGTTGGTATGGCTCATCTACACAGGACAGGCGTTTTGCATGGAGACCTTAAGGTTCGCGCCATGCTTGCCCCTAATCACGTGACACATTTGAAAACTCTATTAATGCTGCTCCAGGCCAATAACATCCTTATCGATGATCAATTGCGCTGTGTTATTTCTGATTTTGGACAAAGTGAATCAAGAAGCGAGGTTTATCGCCTTAGCCAAACACCGAAACCCCCTCGTGAGTGTTCACGACTCATTTAATATTAATATTATCCGGAATTAATTGATTTTCTGAATATGACTTTTTGTTTTTTTATTGCAGGGGGGACGGTGAGGTGGCAAGCACCCGAACTGATCAGCGGGAGAAGTAACCTGACGGCTCAGGCAGATGTCTATGCCTTTGCTATAGTCTGCATTGAGATCCTTACTAATGGAGAATTGCCATGGCAGCACTGGGACGACAAGGACGTCAAGTGGCTCGTACTGGGTAAGTCGGCGGTCGCTGTTCCTTTGTGTTTTCGAACTGAGTCCCACCGACTGTCTTTTTCTCCCTTTCATACCCATATTCCACAGAACATGACATGCGGCCTGATATACCGGGAACCCCATCCCCCGCGCTCGTGTCCCTGATTGAGCGATGCTGGAATAGGAGCCCGTTTTCGAGGCCGATTTTTGACATTGTGGCAAGTGGTCTAGGAAAGATTCTTGAGGGACTGCGGGGGAGGATCACGCCGAGTCCGCAGCCGCAGGAGGGAGAGCAGGAGGAGAGTATTATTATTACGAGTCCTGATATGGCGCCGGTGGATTTACCTGGTGAGTGGTTTTCATGTTCGCTCTTGCTACCACCCCTCTTGAACACGGAAGATGAAGCTAAACTGAGGTTTGTTTGCTTGTTATATAGACGTCGATCCGGGACAGGACGCGTTGGGGGATGTTCACGCGGAGACGCCTGTTCCCGGCTTTATCGTCCCTCGGCAACGGGCGGTCACGCCTAACGCAGATGAGCATGATCCCTCTCGGAAGAATTCCCAACCCTCTAGTGGGTCATCAACACAATCGTCATCGGAGGGGGCCCAAAATTATGAAGTGTGGAGAAGATATGCGTCGCCGGTGCCACGAGAGCCACAGGTCGACGTGCGGCGAGATGAAAGGCGATATAGGTTGCATTTGCAGCACGATCACCACGCGACATGTATGTCGTCGTTATATAATTCGTTATTCCTTCCTCCATTTTCCTCTGAGCTAACTTAGAATACCTTTTTTTTTTGCTGATCAGTAAACCTCCCACTGTGGCAGCCCTGTCCCGTGCGCATTGGCGCTGTTGGTTACCTCTCCAAGCCCCACGGCAACTTCGTCACGCTCTTCAACGCCCTCACGCCCTCCCTCGCTGTAGACCCGCGTGTGCGCACCATGGCGTCCATCCACGGTTACGGCACCGTGCAAGAAGCCCATGTCTCCCACATCGTGAGGAAGAATATTGCTCAGATCAGCGTACAGTATATCATGGGTCTGCTAAATTTCAGCAGCAGAGGCTCGGGCGGCGATTTTTCGCGGGATGTAAAGAAGCGGTATTCGTACCCCTTGCGGGCGAAACATAAACATGCGTACTTGTGTACGGAGAATACGACATATCGTTACATGGTCAATATTGAGGCGGCGAGAACGTGGTTCGAGAATCATATTAAGAAGATATTGAAGTATTATGGACAAGAGCATGCTCTTCATCGCGAGGACGTCTTCTTAAGTGAGTTTTTACCATAACCTCATCATGTTCCGGACCCACCTCCCTCTTCCTTTGTGCTTCTCTTTTACTGAATAAATTCCCTTTCTTTACCATGGCAGTCATCGGCACGCTGGAGACACGTGAATACGCCCTGTTCGTGAGCCACGAACATCCAGACGGGCAGGTGCATTTCAATGTCTATGCTGACCGCCGTGAGGGCCAGGAGTGGGGAATTTTCTCGACGGACCTGCAGCGATCGCCCTCTGCGCGGGCGGGGCCTGAGTATGACGATGATTTACCGAATTTGTCATCGGTGCATACGATGAAGGTATCGACCGTGAGGACTAGGCCGGATGAGGAGGTCGATGCTGTGTTGTTGGCGAAGTTGCGGTTTAAACCGGACGAGGCGAAACCAACAAGCAGGTAAGATGTGGTAAATTAATTGACTCGCTTGGTTTCTGTGTTGTTTGCTGTTACCCCCCACATACCTTTTTTTCCACGCATAATTTATCTGCATATTCTTTCTTTGTTCTCGCTGTTTTATAATCGACAATGACTTTTATTTTCAAGAATTTTGCTATAATGTATCAACATTTATACACTGTTATTTGTGTCTGTACATGTGATTCTACATAAAAAGTATAAAAATTCTGGTCGGTCCTCAATGAGAATAGACACATACATTATCAGTGAGTTTGTCAGAGAAATGGATTTTTGGGCTTAATAGCCAATTGGGATAGTTTTTCTTTCTGCCATAGGCTGCTGGGAACCCATGACATCACTGTTTGAACAGTATCTAAAATGCACTTCCAAAAGTTTGGACCATCACTAAACCACCATGAGCCCTATCCTTACTGCTCGGTGCAGTGATATCCTTCCTTCTTGCCTCAGGCTATTCATGTTGGGATTGAAGATACAATATCTGGTAACTACAGCACAACATACATGCAATTGGTATAAGTCCCAAGTTAGCATCAGTCAATTGTGACATGTAGAATACAAAGTATATTCTAAGCAATACTGCCAATAAGGTCCAGTAGCTCAGGTGGCAGAGTCCCAGCACATATAGCCAGGAGGTCCTTAGCTCAATCCTAGGCTGGGTTAATACTTTCTATACCCTTAGCAATTCAACCAGAGATAACAAGTTGCCTATGCAGCTTCCTGATCTCAACCCAATTGAGCATATTTCTGCTCTCTTGAAGCCTAGAATTTTGGAATATATAAGATACTGTCATTTGGTGTATGGCAATTGTACAAAAGGGCAGCAGTTAAATGGGAGAGTATCACTTCTGAGCAATTAGCTGAACTATTCATTATCCACATATTTTACAAATATGTTGTCTCATCTTATTGCATATACAGCAGGTCCCAAACCAATGAAGGTCACTGTTAAGTGCCGTGTCGGAACTTGTTCCAGAACTATCGGAAAGTCACCAGAAATTTGGAAACTATCAGATAGGGTCAGGATGTTGGCTTCAGCTTATGTGCTGCACCTCTATGCAAATGCTTGAAAGTCCTTAATTTTAAAGGCAAGACTTACACTGGAAGATACAGATATTCAGAGTTCCGATGAGTTCTGAATATCAAGTGTACAGAAAGATGGAAGAGGGAATAAGAAACTAAGTCGATATCAGATCTAAAGTAAAGTACAAATTCACAGAAACTAAGATAAGTCTTCTTGTTATTGTACTACAAACCAAGACCACAATAAGACGGAAATGGAAGTATTCTGAAATGGGTCCTAATGGAGGGTTTGAACTGGGCTCAATATTGATTTTTAAGTCATAAGGCCTATGTGGTGCAAGCCAGTCAGCTTTTTGCTTACTGAAAATGTCTGCAAAACCATGGTATTTTTCGGGAACTCCTTCCAGGTTGGCTTTTAGCTTGGATAATTCTGGAAAACATCCAGATGCTTCATCAACTTTTAAGCTGATCGAAAAACACTGCAATCCATCCAGTTTACTTGCCCTAACAAATGCTGAAGTGTTGATGAGAGAGATTTTTGGAGATTCAGAGGTTTCGGTAGAAGCTGGAAGTGCCATCAAGGCCAAAGAGGCTCTGGCCAGAAAAGATGCTGCAGGAGGAAGGGAAGTGTCAGGAATCTGGAAATTAATACTGCCCAATACCCAGTCAATCAACGGATTATATCGGGTGAGCCAGTTGTATCCAAGAACTACCGAACAGCTAGAGTCCAACTGTGTTACGAGAAAAGTAACTGTCTGGGATGTTCCACACAGGAACCGGATAGACATGTCGCAGGCTTGAGTAATTGTCATATTGCTAGTGCCGTCAAACAAATGCAAAGAAATTGTGGGAACAGAATGGAGCTTCAGATTATGTTTTGTGGCAAAGGTGGTATTTACAAAACAGTGTGTGGAGCTGGAATCTATCAGAGCTCGGAACACTAAATTTCCAAGAAGGTCAGAGATGAGGTTTACAAATAGTGAGTCAGGATTAGAGAGAGTAGATGTGTTGAGATGGATAATCTCAGAAACACGGAGAGAGTCAACACAACCCTCTGTCCATGCAGATTCCAGAGGGTTGCTTACTCTTTTTTCAACTCTGTGGTGGGTTTTTCCTTGGATGTTGTAGTCATAGTGGAAGTTGCTGTGTGGGCCTTGGAAGAGTTAGACTTAACAGTACAGTTGGAAACCTTGTGTCCACCTTTCCCACAGAAAAGGCAGAGATCATTATCCATGCATCATTGTTTCTCCTTCAGGGTGAGTTTACCGTCAGTACCCAACAAGTGGGAAATGTCGGGTTTGTCAGAAGTTGACTGTTCTTCCTTGTTGGATTTCTTGTCTTTTTTCCAATCAGAATTTGATTTGCCAGTATTTGTGCCAGTGTTATTGTTAGGGTACGTACAAAGCAGGTTTCCAGAGAAACCCGTGGAATATCTGATAGGACTTCACTTCAGCTTATAGGCTGTGCCCTCGCGAGATTGTGTCGTCCAATTTCAGACAGGCAGACAGGAATCCTGGGGAGTCTGGGCGGGGTTCGTGGGTCGGGGGTTGTAGGTCGAGAGGTCGTGAGTCGAGATAGATAAGAGAGATAGATGCGCTGGAGCCTGTGGGCTCTGACTAGCATGAGCAGTGTAATTCAATTCAAGTAGGAGTTTAGAGCAAAAAATGTATTAGATTACTGGTGTTACGACCGGACAATCCCGCCGGACTCCGGGCACTAACCCATACGCCCCCACACGCTACAAGCACCAATCGTCTGTTTGTAGGATTTCCCGCCCGGACTCCGTTACATCAAGACTAGTTACGTTTGACCTCAATATGACACATATCAGTCATCGGACTTCCCCCGGACTCCGTCTCTGTCTATGTCCATCTTCATCCCACGCACCAGTCACCGGACCCCACTTAGAATCCCGTCACCTCTCTAATCGAGCCCTGTTCCCATTTTAGTCAAATGACCTGTCACGATTTAGGACTCTGCTCCCGCTCTGTTTCCCGTTATGGGTTATTCTTTGTCACAATTCGGACTCTGCTCCGTTCCATTCCGTCCCTAACACCAATTTGGTGTTTACTATTCCCATTTCATGTTTTGTTAGTTTTGTTTCGCCATTACTGGATTTGGTATGTCATTCACTCCATGGTCTATATAAACTGGCAGATGTTGTACATACAATCCAGTCAGAAAATTAGCTTAGATTCCCCCCAGTAATCTAATAATATTTTCCACTCTAAAACCTTACTCGATTCACATTGCTCACACTAGTCGGAGCCCACGGGCTCCGGCACATCTATCTCTCTCAACCAACTCGACTTACGACCCATGACCTCTGACTTACGACCCATGACCTCTGACTTACGACCCACGACCTCTGACTTACGACCCACGACCTCTGACTTACGACCTACGACCCACGAACCCCGCCCGGACTCCCCGAGATCCCTGTCCGTCCGTTTGAAATTGGACAACACGATCTAGCAAGGGCGCAGCCTATAAGCTGAAGCCAAGTCCTACTGGATATCCCGCGGGTTTCTCCGGATACCTGGCCTGTGTGTGTATCCTAACAACTGGGGGGAATCTAAGCCAATTTTCTGACTGGATTGTATTTACAACATCTGCCAGACTATATAGACCGTGGAATGAATGACATACCAAATCCAGTAATAATGAAATGAAACTAGCAAAACATAAAACGAGAATAGTAAACACCAAATTTGGTGTTAGGAACGGGACAGAATGGAGCGGAGTCTGAATCGTGACAAATCATAAACCATAACGGGAAATGGAGCAGGAGTGGAGTCCAAATCGTGACAGGTCATTTGACTAAAACGGGAACAGGGCTCTGTTAGAGGGATGATGGGTTTTCCGAGCAGGGTCCGGTGACTGATGCATGGGATGAGGTCAGACATAGACAGGGATGGAGTCTGGTGGGTATTCCGGTGAGTGATACACAACGTAACAAGGTTGAATGTAGACAAGTCTGACATACAGAGTCCAGTGGGAATTCCAGTAAACTGACAATTGGTGTGTAAGGGCGCAGGTGCATATAAGTTAGTGCCCAGAGTCCAGCGGGAATTACAGCCGTAACAGTTATTGCCTGAGTTATTGCTGGAAGACTTGCTAGTCGATGCCTTGTTGCTTTGAGAACATTCTGTCAGATTCTCTCAGGAGACCTCGGCTTTTTGTTCCCAATAATGGGCATTGGATGTCTGAGCTTTAATCTGCATGAGTTGGAGAGTTTTCGGCTTCCCATCTTTGCAGATCTCGTCTTTAAGGCATGATGGAAGTCCATATAGAAATGGTGCCTGAGGGCAGAATTGTCCCAACCACACCATGCGGTGAGGGTATTGAACTTGACAAGATAATCAGAGACTTGTTGATTGTCCTTCATCTTAAGCATCATTAATTCATTTTCCACTTCGCCAGATTGATCATAAGGTGTCCCAGTTGTTGAGCCATATGGGTGTCTCATCGGATATTCCAGACAGTCCGGGTTCAAACCAATCCTGAGCAGTATCCTTGAGATAAGAGAGTGTGAAATTGACTTTTCGACTGTCAGATTTAAATGCAGCAGGTCGATCACGGAAACTGAAATAGCATTGGAGAAGGAAATTCTTCAATTTTTTCAGATCCTTGCTGGTAAATGGTTTGGGTTCTTTAACTCCAGTGCGGGATGATTCTTTGCTTTCCTCAGCAGTTTTCAAATAGTCAGCAAATTTCACAATGGAGTTGACAAACAACATTTCAGTCAGTTCATCAGAAGATTTCTTTTTCGATGTCGCTGGCTGTTCTTCTACTTCATTGTTAGAAGGGGGTTGGGAGCATTGAGATCCTTTGCTACCTCGGTAACTTCTTTGATGGAAGCTGATGCTGTCAGCTGAATTGGGGTTTTGGGTTGGGTGGTATAAAGTTGCAATGGGGATTGAAGTTGAGATGGTCCTTCGGCAGCTTTGCGTTTGGGACCCATGATGAGTGAGTCACAGAGTTGAGATCTGATATACTGTTAAGTGCCATGTCGGAACTTATTCCGGAACTATTGAAAAGTCACTGGAAATTCGGAAACTATCAGATAGGGTCAGGATGTCGGCTTCAGCTTATGTGCTGCACCTCTACACAAATGCTTGGAAGTCCTTAATTTCAAAGGCAAGACTTACACTGGAAGATATGGATATTCAGAGTTCCAAAGAGTTCCAAATATCGAGCATACAGAAAGATGGATATTCAGAGTTCTGAATAGTTCCGAATATTGAGCATACAGAAAGACGGAAGAGGGAATAAGAAACTAAGTCGATATCAGATCTAAAGTAAAGTACAAATTTGTGGAAACTAATATAAGTCTTCTTGTTATTGTACTACAAACCAAGACCACAATAAGATGGAAACGGAAGTATTCTGGAATGGGAATACAATAAGACGAATTGGGGAGACAATATTCTGAAACGGGAATATAATAAACAAATGAGTGAATACTTGTCAACAGACAAATTACTAAATGTGGAACAAGGGAAGAATACGGAAGATACGGTAACTATGATGTTCCGTAGTTGGAAGTCGGAAGTCGGATATTGAAACATCTGGGAACAGGTCATAACAAGTGAGTCACCTTCTAATACAATTGGTCTGGTGATAGTTTAGGGTGTACA